AATAGAAAAAAAACGAGCGCGAGGCAATTATAATCCTTCAGCGGTGAGAAATAAAAAAAATTAAATCGTAAACAATAGCGAGAGCCATAGCAATCTCGTTAGGCGATTGGCCCCCTGGCCTCCCGAATGCACGTCTAGAGTGCGGAGATAGCCGTGGGACTCTACAGGATACGCACCCGCGCTGGTGGAATCACGGCATACATAAAGTACCAAATTACCAATTGCTAGCATGTGTATTTGGGAGCGATTTCACTATTTTGACAAAACCAAGTAGATGATTATACTCTTACTAGTGGCCCGCCCTCGCTTCGCTTCGGGGTAGAATTGATCAAATCGCTCTTTTAGCGGATGCCTGCGTCATAACATCTACCTGCATGCCAAATTTCAGTCCGATCCATCCAGTGGTTTGGGCTGTGCGTTGATAGATCACTATGTCAGTCAGTCACCTTTGAGTTTTATATATATAGATTACTAAAAATTACGAAAGACAGAAGTATTTTTGATCTAGTGTCACGTGACCGAAAAAAGCCTAGGTTTGCACGCCGCGCGCCTGGCCAGCGCGCGGTATGGTCCGTAAATGGAATTTCCATCGTCAAAAAAAAAGGTTTGGCGGAATCTAAAATGACGTCAACTTCTTGTAAAAATTTGTCGAAGTAACGCTTTTATTTTTCAAATACACGTAATGTAAACTTGTCAAATAGCCTATTCCCTATATTCCCTTTACATATGGCTCCGTATGTATGGCTCTTGTATTTGAGATCAGTCTAGCACTAATCAAAATAACATAATATTAATTAAAGCATACATCCATAACATAATTATCTTCCAGCCGTAACATCTCTTGGGGCTAGCAACGCATCTAAGCTTGATCTAAGCCATACCTCTACGACGATATATGTACATTTATTGTTAGTTGGGCTTACCTAAGATATAATTCGGGAATGATAATGACAGGAATGGACAGGAATACGTCGTCCATTGATAGGATTTTAATATCTGCATTGGAAATCCGGATTAGAATAACGTTAAAAAATATGTCACCCGCAAAACGTAGGTATTTATTTGAATATAAAACAATTACACCCGTTAAATTCCTTGATTCCTTCAATTGAGATTGATGACACTGGACTTAGCTTACTTCAACAATGTACATTGATTTTTTTTATGAAATCAAAACCTCCATCACGTTCTTGTTACCAATTGGTATTACCGACAGTGTCTGACTGAGCCCAGCATCTACAAAACTATGGGGCCAATAACCCTTGTTTCGGACTCTTGTGTCAAAATAAGTTGTGTTTCGCTATGGATCTGTTGTACTGTTGCTAGCATTAGAATATGTGAACAGTTTTAAGTGCATTGCCATTAAAAAAATGTGGTCAACGACCATGTTGTTTATGTCTCATATTTTACGCATGTGCGAATTAACATTCTTTAGTGATTGTTGTGATATTATGTTGTTTGAAGTTTTAAGAGATCTGCCTATTGTAGCTTAGTTGCTAAGACATCTTTAATATCTATACATATAATAAAATGGTAGGAAAGTCAAAACTGTACATTGAATATTTTTTAAAAGAATACTTGGGGTGTAATCTACAATCGATACCGAAGCTAAAAATATAGTTAGATGTTTGTCTGTTTGTCTGTATGTATGTCCGGGATAAACTCAAAAAGTACTGCATGGATTTACTTCAAATTTGGCACGAATATTATTAGGAATTCGGGTCAACATATAGGCTACATAATTTCACGAAACTTCACCCCTAAGGGGGTAATACGGGGGTTGGAAGTTTGTATGTAAGTCTTATGTTTTTGAAGCAAGAGACTTGAAATTTAACAAGTATGCTCTATAGATGGTGTAGAGGTGTACTAATAATGTATCTTTAGAAACAACCCCCTTTTGGGGTCAAAAAGTATGTGCAAATAACTAAACACACGCGTACGAAGTCGCGGGCGGCCGCTAGTTTAGATTAAAATTACAACTGTTACTAAGAAACGAAGCCAGAATAAGCTTACCTTTTACTGGAAGTTTATTAATAAAGCAGTCTTTAGTTAAAGATGTTCTCTCGTGATAACTGAGAATTACTTTTCAAGTAGTTCTCATTGTAGTAACATATAATGTATAAACATATTTTTAAATCCTTCCTTGTAGCCACTACGAAAACGTATTAGATTTTTCTTAACAATATTTGAAAATTCTCAATCCGTGTGTTTAATTGCACTTTCTTATTATGAAACTTGTGCCGAAGTGCCGATTGACTGCGATTTACGTTATTTGCATGCCACAATAATTACTTAAACATATTATTTTTATCCCGTGCGATAAAAATATTATTATTACAGCTCACGTTCGTTTTTTATTTTATTATTATGTGCGACATGCACATTTAACAGACTCGACATTTATATTTATTTTAATTGTTAAATTATACGTATTGCTTGCTAACTTATGTATTTACTTTATTAAGAACTCGGAATGACTGATATATATTAAAGAGATTGCCCTAATATACCATAATTATAAAAGTACAAGCGCTTTTGCCATTCAATCATTTTACAAGACAATGATAACACAAACACTATTTAGATAAATTACAGAAGATAAATAACGTTATCTACTTACTATTTAGTTCAGGGTATTTAAATAACTTCATTGAAAATTTTAGAGAAATTCATAATTATTCCATTCTCCGTCTGGAACGGGAGAAAATAAACAAATGTGTATTTCAACTTCAAATCAATGAAAACTTCCATCTTTACGTGTTATTTGCCAATGATTTGCTATAGTTTTGGCGGGCGATTAAACCTGCATGGTTTATGTTAAAGTATCTTTAAGATGTATCTTAATAGATTTGATTGCAAATTGCAGAGGCATGTTGTAATGTTTGGGTTTTACAATTACAGTTTATTATGTAGTATGCTCGTCGGGCTGGCGGGCGCCCAATCCAGAGATGCGCGGCGAGGGTCGGCGACCGAGTTTGGCTGCCACGGCCTTTCGTTCACTCACTCCTGCGCATCAACTTGCTTAGCTATAATATATCTACAGAACTATTTGCGCGCACCTATTTGCGTCTCACGCGGCCAAGGTGAGGGCCACGATCGGTGTTGCCTAACGAGTCTTTCCAAACTTGTCAGAACTTCTGTCTGGAAAAAAGTTGGAATTTAGACATAAACATCAAAATGCGGAGCTAAAACAAGCATCACCCGGCCTAATGTAGGTGTTAGCAATATATGTTATAATTTAAGAAATGCAAGCGTAGTTTTGGCGTCGCACGCCAGCCGAATACCTTTGCCTATTGTTCAGCAATTCAGTAAGGAAACTCGCACATTATTTGGGATTCGGCGTGTGGTTGAATATAGTATTCGTCGCAAGTCTAGTTTTAATTGTAAGCTAGCGTGCCTAACATATCGAGATTTAAACGCAGAACTAAGAGCGTTCCGTTCTTTCTAGGAAGCGACACAACCTGTCGAAAGCGGTACATATGGCAACACTTGTCACGAAAGTCAATCGCCACAGCCATAGTGATGCGAATTGACTCTCAGTGATATTGACCCCGTCTAATTTATTCCACTCTTGGACGTGGTATTACGTCAACCTCGCATTTGTCATTCCGCTTGCTTTTTGGTCAATAATGTGGTATTATCCTTGTTCCATTGAATCTTGAAATGTGAGATCCATTCGGTTACTTAAGTTCATCCTTTACATTGTAATGAATCAACTTATTTTAACGTATCGGTTGCGTACCACCTATCGGGAGGTCGGATGTTAAGATTCCTTAATATTCAAATAGTAACCTCAAATTTCTTGAAAATTTTCCAAAAAACTTAAAAAAACACCCTGTCAACGCGACGCGCTTCGCTTGGCTTACGTCGCGGAGTCTGTTTAAAAAGATGGATGAAATCGGTAAAGTTATCGCGTGGGCGTGACCAAGGGAAATACGGATTCATTTTATCTAATATTTATTATTTTATATAAAAATCTCGTGTCACAGTGTTAGTGAGAACTCCTCCGAAACGGCTTAACCAAATTTAACGAATTTTTCTTTGTAAATATTTATTTAATTCGTATGCTATTTTTATACCCTTAGTTAATAAGTGTTGCCCTCTCCAGATTTCATAGGTAACATTGTTTTTTTTCATTTCATTCATCCAAAAATACTACTTTCCCTGAATTTTCACTCTTCTACTGCCAGCTACTATTTTAATGGTGGTAAGGTTCGCTCGCTGGCACAGCTAGTTAATTTTAGCAGGACACAATAGAAATGGTTGTTTTAGACACTTACTTGTGTTCTTTTCTAGATATTTTTGCTTAACCTTCAACTATATCTGCCTGTACTTTATTTTTAAATAATGAAAAGCAGATACTAATCTTGGAAATTGTTAAAAATTGAAAGCATCATGTTTAAAATCAGGTATCAGGTACAAGTCAAAGTACATTACTGTACTTTTTTAACTCACCTTTGGATTATTTTTTGTTATAAGAATATATATATATATATACTAGCTGACCCAGCGAACTTCGTACCGCCATAAAAAAAATTAATTAAAAAAACATTGTCCAGCTGACAAAATTGTGAATCTAAACCATTCTCAGATCCCCTTGAACACACACAAAAAATTGCATCAAAATCAAGAAGAAGAAGAAGTACAGTGACATACACACTCACAGAAGAATTATATATATATATATATATATATATATTTATTTATTTATATATATATATATATATATATATATATATATATATATATATATATATATATCCCTTTATCGTAATTGCAAGCAGCGTTGAGCAAGTCCGCACATATCAATGTCGGAGTTACTTACATGGTAGGTAGGTATGTATTTTTTTATCTGCATGTGGTGGTGTGGCGTACCAGCACCGGTTCATTGTCCGCCAAGCGCGTCTTGTTATTGTACGCGATATTACCCATCTGTGAGTCAACAAACGCGAACTCCCTATATGACATAAGAAATAACGTATGAATATCTTTCACAGGACATGCAAGAGGTACTGGACGAGGACTCAGAGATGAGCGACTGGTTGATCCGCGACTCCAAGTCGGGAGTGGTGCTGCACGACCGGCTGATGACGGATGCGGCGCTGGGCGCGGCGCCCATCAAGACGGAGCACTCGTACAGCCTCCACTCCGATGTGGAGTCAGCACCCTCCTCTCCACACCACACCAAAGTCGATGGTGCGTATCGCTTTTTTTCGGTTCTTTCACCTGCGTCAGTGCCACGACAGACAGACGAATAGCGGCAAACGAACGACCAATCACGCGACCCGCGGGCACCAATGACTTCGCCCTGCCTTGACAAATTCCGCCCGCGTTGCATCAAGAGGATCTAAAAATGCCTTTTGCGCAGTACTTTCTTTCGTGAACTGTATTGAGGCCCAATCACAAGTTTTTTTAAAGCTCCGTTGCTTATCGCATCGCCAAAGTTTCTATGAAAATGAAGCAGCACCCTCTACTTAGGACTTAAGAGCCCTTTCACATTTTTTGCAAAAAATCGTAATTTTTGAGCGCCTCGTTTACTCCCTTAGAAAAGATTTTGACTATTTCCAATGGAAGTAAACAGTAGATTTATTTTTCCTTTTGTAAGTTAATGTAGAATATTTGCAAATACTATTTTCCTTTTTTGTACTGATCGTTCTACCGCAGCTAGTTTACGGAAAAAACGATAATATGCACAACTTCGAAAACCTGAATCTCTAAATAATGTCCAATAAATTAGATCAAATTAATTACTACGACATCAGAAATATGTTTTTATTGTAACATAATGTATTAGAATTTTAATTTTCCATCTCATTAATTATCAAAAAAAACATCTAACCTCCGTGAGTTTTCCCAAAAAATAATGCTGGTTTACCTCATATTTTGATATTGAATTAAATAGAATTAGTATCAAAAACTTTTATAAAACTAATCTTCTACTTCTTCTACTGAAATATGTATATATTTTTATAATAGTTCATTAATAATTATTTTATAAGACTCGAAACATCACCCGTAAAATGTAATGTATACACGTGCAAATCTACCTACGCGCCGATCAGTACGGCAGGGGCGCAAATTTGTAAAAGGGCTCTTAAGAAAAAACTAGCTTTTTCCATACAATATTTGACGATTACGACACTTAACGGAGTTGTCAAAAACTTCTGCTTGGGCCTCTGTACTTGTAACTAATGTGTCAACGGAGAAAAAAGTCCGTGCAGATCAGTTGCGATATATCTAACGCAGCATTGACAACCTTAACTTGCCAGCCTGAAACCTATTCCCTTAACGGCTACAGGTGTATATTAAGGTCTAATAAGCTTCCGTTCAAATCTAACGCCATTAAATTTTAATTACGACGAATCGTGCCAATAATTTAGTAACATTTATATATCCATTTTCACGATCACACGAAACGTGTAAAAATTTCTATTTTAATAAACGCTTCTGACAAATTCTGTGTTTTTACAAATGCATGCAGAAACACGTTTTGCTTTCATGCGAATTCTCAAAATGTCTGTCTAACTACAAAAAGAAACGTTTGTCACTTTGTAGTAGGTGGAGTCACTCTTTGTTCAATGTGCAAGATCATCGTCCAGTGACTAATCCATTGTTAAAGGAGTAATGTCACTTTAATCCCTATTAAAAACAACGCATCAGCACTTAAAACTTACCTATATGATTTTTGTAGCGTGTTAAATGGCAACTTTGGTCTGTGAAGAATATTCTACCAAGATGATACTGTCGAAACCATACTCAAAGCACAAAAACCTTAGAACGTTAAGCCATATCATATTTTTATAAAGTTAAAGTTTCAGACCTTTTTAGGCTATTTTGATTTTAAATATCCTGCTTATCTTACTAATAATATAAATGTGAAGGTTTGTAAGTTTGTAACTCAATCACGTAAAAACTACTCAACGGATTCGGATGAAATTTGTTACGAATATATTTCATGACCTGGATTGAGACCTAGGATACTTTTTATGTCGGAAAAATGTTAGGTTCCTGAGGGATTCTCAAAAAGCTAACGCGGACCAAGTAGCGGGCGGCCGCTGGAATTTCATAATTATGTTCAAGGTAACAAAATTTGAGCGTTAATAATGAAAAGAATCAACTAATTATTCATTAATAAAAATAATTACACCGAGCCACATGTGTTCCGCGTATTTAAAAAGTTTTCACAGCTGATTCTAAGCCATTGTCTGTCTGAAACAACAAACGCAAAGTAAACACGACAATTACATCATAATCGATGCAAAATGTCCAACAAATATTTAGATATTAAGTACCTATCGTAAGCTATTTACATATTTTAACAATATTATTTTCAAATAACAAAGAATTGCTCGTTTATTTATGAGAGGTAAGGCATAGCGGTTTTGCCCCCCAAAATGAAGTGCCCGTCTGGGGAAGCAACCTCCACCTTTAGAAGACGACAGTAAAATAACACTACCTTCTGGGGATGTTGTGATTCTGTCGGTGAGTAAGGTTCCAGGGCCCCATGGGGTGGGGATTGGGATAGGTTAGGCAACGGTGATATTATTTTGTATCGCAAGCGTCTATATGCTATGGTAGCCGCTTACGATCAGGTGGGTCATATATATAGCCACACCGGAGTCGTCACGCGACTGCGCGCTAACACCAAAACGCGCTAACGCTGCTGCGGCCGCCAGTCGAACCGTCGCTGTCACGCAACCTGAACGGAAATCCACTCATCCAAAGAAGAAGGGTATCCAAGACATCCCTTGTGCAACTCCGACGGTAACACGTAACCGTAATTGTGACGAAGAGGGTTTCATCACGGTGGAGAGGAAGAAGAGGGAGCCCACTCGCCAAAATCTTTTTTTTTTGTGTGACGCAGGCAAAAACTCTGTTTACAGACGACGGCGCCTTTAAGAGCCACATCGCCGAACGGACCTCACACCTGGCTCCCGCAAACCTTATGAGCCCCCACAGTCACAGCCCACTGAGGACCCCGTAACTGTTACGGGCGCTTTACGGCATAATATCCGCGTAAAAACCCTGCGAATACCCTCGAAGCTGCTTAGTGCGAAACCGCGGGATCCCCGTTTAGGGATTCTTCCGCGTCTCCGCACCCAGCAGCCTCCCGGCCTAGCCGGGGCTCCACGGCAGGGGTCTCCCGAGGTATTGCGGGGACCCCGTAGACGTGCGCAGGATGGCCCGCGCGTGGGGGCTGAATACGCGGCCTAGTGCCCACCGTACCGCCCCCGTCCCCTGCGGAGGACTACTTGGGCGTGCCCGTGTAGCTGACTCGTCGCAATCTGTGCCGTGTCGCCCCTATCGGACCGAATAGCCTGCTGCGTCTAGCGATACCTGTGACGCTACTGTATGTGTCCCGCTTGCATTACACCACGAAGGCGGAGGGGATCGCAGAATACATGCGTATGAAGACCAATTTCTCCCTGAGGGTCGCGCGTTTGGAGTCTCGCCACGACCTGGATTTTAATTCATTTGTGGTGAGAGTGCTGACTGAACATCTGTGTTATTTATAATTTGTTATTTATATTTCATATCTATGTTAGACTATATGGTATATATTTCGATGGGTCTACGATGCCTGAATGCAAAAAAAAAAATAAACCAATCTTTTAACATACCGTAAAAAAATATCGTAGAAATTCTACGATGGATGGGCCACTTTAGAAAACTGTTGCAATATAATGGACTGGTGACTTGTCACCATGTTTCCAAACAGGACTATGGCGGAGAAACGGCTAGTTTGGCATTAGAGAGATATTAGAGAGATATCACAGCTTTGATGTTACCGATCGAAAAACTATTCACGGAATTGCGAATTTCTATCGATTCTCTTTCTCCAAAAACAAAATAATATTTTTAGCCATCGAATCTATTTTGCACTACCTCGATTTCTTGTTCGGTGATGTCGAAACTTTCTGAATATTTAGTTACAAATTGTGATCATCAAAAATCTACTTCTCAAAATTGCTTATGCAAAGTAAATGCATATAAAGTATTTTATTGTAATGTAATTGGGCACAACGAACTTACCGTTCAGAGCCATTCAGAGAAGGAGAGTAAATTCCACCTCATAGAAAATTACAGCCAAACTATTGTTGTGTTATATTTCTGCATTAAGTTTGATTATCACAGCTTTACCAGGTAGGACTGTAGCTGGGTAGTTGCTTAAGCGGCAAGGGCAAGTTCAACTACCACAAATTTTCGCTATTGGACTCTACACATGTTAAATAAGACGTGAGATGACGTTATCACTTCATAGTATAAAAGTCGCTTCCCGCTGTCTGTCCCTATGTCCCTATATATGCTTAGATCTTTAAAACTACGCAACGGATTTTGATGCGGTTTTTAATAGATAAAGTGATTCAAGAGGAAGGTTTATATGTATAATACATGCATAATATAGTAGAGAAACACTGATAATTATAGAGGTTTTTAATGTGAGGTCGTAAATAAACTCATTTTTTTGCGCTTACATTGCAAACGCTGGCTGAACCCTTCGAGATAGATCAAAATAATGTACTACAGTATTGTACACCTTAAAAAGGTCTACAAAAAAAATCCGCGATGGTATTTGTCTATCTCTTAGGGATAACCAACAATAACCGTTTTTAATTACTTATTACGAGAAAATAAGGGTTTATTTACGAAAAAGCGATTTTAAGCAATACAGCATTAACAGCATTAATCCTTATCCAATTAAGTACCTTAAATACATTGTGCATGTAATATAGATCAATATGGCCCATTACAGCATGTAATTTAAATGAATATTTTCGAAGATATTACAGATTTAAATGCAGGAACTTACCTGTTCGGGCGGTACTGGCCGGGGGGCCGGCGGCGGCGCGTACCTATAGTTATTATATATCTATAAAGAAAGTCATTGTGTTTAATAGAAGCCTGAGAACAAAAACTATAGTCTAAACTACAGCTCTACACCGAAGCGAAGCGAGGGCGGGCCCCTAGTTTTCTATAAAGCGTATTAGAACAACCTCAACACTAACTTCGGTTTTCCTTAGGTTAAAGTAAATACTACTCGTCCGACTACTCGTATATCGTCGTTGTTTGCCACATTTTTACATAAAAAGTTTTTATTTCATTGCAGAAGGAAAACTTGTATCTCAGAAGTACGTACATAAGCATAGTTAAAATGCCTATCTATAACTAGTATGTAATGTAAGTACTATTAAATA